ACAAAAACGCCAGAGTGTATACGTGGATAGTTCAGTCCAACCTGTACAAGAAGACCGCTCCGTGTAGAGGAGAAAAGTGGACCTCTTATTAAACAGATGGTTTGTTTGTTTTAGTAGAGGTTTTACGGCGCTCGCAACTGCATAAGGTCATATGAGCGCCAGAAGATTAGAGGTGTTACAAGAGAGTAACAAACATAAAAAAGAAGAAGGAGAGATCAGGACGATAGATGTTTGATAGGAAAGAAGGAGCAAACCACACTAGAGCACCCGCCAACCACCCACTTAAACAGATGGTCCTCTTGAACAATGCTGTTGTAATTTAGAAAGAAAAAAAACCCGCATGAGTTTGTTTTTTTTTGGGGGGGGGGGGGGGGAATTTCTGTAATTGTTGTGGTTGTTCGTCAGTGATTAGTTTGAAGGTGATTAGAGTAAGTAGATTACAGCTGGCCGTTTGTACAGGTGATTGTCTTATAATGGCCGTTCAAACAGGTCGTGGTAGTCTTGGACAGGTGATCGTTTGAGCAGGTTAGACTATGTTGTTATTAACTTATAATTTCTTTCTTATATTCCCAATGATAACGAATCTTTTAGTTTTAGTAGAGGTTTTACGGCGCTCGCAACTGCATAAGGTCATATGAGCGCCAGAAGATTAGAAATTAGAGGTGTTACAAGAGAGTAACAAACATACAAAAGAAGGAGGGGAGTTAAGGGCGATAGATGTTTGATAGGAAAGAAGGAGCAAACCACACCAGAGCACCCGCCAACCACCCACTAACGAATCTCATCAAAGCTCAAAGCTGTATAATTTTGACCACCTAAGTATGACTGCAAATTGCATTCGAAAAAGCTTGATATGATATTGTGAAACCCAAACATTTTGACGTCAGAATTCTATTTTTTTAAAATAGAGTTTGAGTAGATAGAACTTTATATTTCTGGGGTAGTGAAGTGTCAATGAGAACTTTGGACTCATTCCTGCATCTTTTTAGTAGAGTTTTTTCGGCACTCGCAACTGCATAAGGTCATACGAGCGCCAAGGGGTGGATGTTAACAGAGAAGTCCTTAAAGGGAATCAGGCTTACTCTGCTCACCTCTCTAGCTTCAACAGCACAAAGTCTGCTTCGACTATCAAGGCACCCCGGAAATAGTGGGTTACAAGAGTGTGACAAACATACAAAAGAAGTAGAGGAAAATGACAATAGTAAGGATTAGGAAAGAAAAGTTCCCTGATGTAGATCAGGAACAGTTATGAGCGTGGCATGATGAATTAGCCCATTTACAATTCTACTCTGCTTGAACGAGAAATATGTACCCCCTTTGGGAATGGCCTAAAGACACTTCATTCAGTGGCACTGCCCCGGGGGGTGG